ATTTATAACCAATTTCACTTAGGCTGTTTTAAATATATAAGTTACAGTACTACTGTCTTACACTATTGATGCAGCAGTTAAGTTAGCACAATGTAGACAAGTTATTACTTCGACTATCACCTAGATGAACACAGATTTGAACCAAGTATTTAATTTTTTGATTATGCTACAAACGTCCATCATTCATATCACCTAGATCTTGAATCCTCCGTCAGCTGATTACATTACGACCAAAGATCACATTAATTTCATTAAAATCTATTTCAATATCAGTGATATAAAGTTATATTTACTGAAAGAGACCTCAATGGGAAGAATGTTTGCTTATAACAGCTGGTTTTGCAGTAGTTATTGATCTCTTTCAGGACTCGTTCTTATGCTGGTCTTCAACAACCCGATTCTGCAAATATTACTCAAAGAATAAATGAACAAATTAATAAACGTAATACATCATACACTATGAAACTGCCAGCATTTTCATCTTACGTACGTGAGTTTTTAACACAAAACAATCAAGTGGTACAGTAAATAATGTCATATAACAAGTGGTTTGCCACTGAACTTGCAAACAACACTGAAAAATGATCTGTGCGAACTTGCATATTAACAGCACGTAAAACTCGGAAAAGGACTCCATACAAGTGACCATCACTTTCCCAACTACTACAGTCTGTCAAACAACCCATTCACTAAAGCAGTATAGTAGGAGGTAATATGCTGTATGTTAATGGCTTTTCAAATTGGCACCCTCCAAATTGCACCTTTGGCAGGCAGCCAACTCAAAAGAATATTTAGTGCAACTGCTCGATTGTACGTTGATATGGTCTCAGTTTTTGTTATTGTTGGCTTACAGCACAAGGCATAGTTACACGTGACGCAGGACTTGGTTCCGGTTGTTTATAAGTATGCTGAGAAAATTCAGTTCACATGTGCTCGTAATCTATTAATCGCCGTTGTTTTAGAATCTGGTACCGTAAGTATATGTCATTAAGTGGCGTGTTAGATTAGAACTACTAATTGAGAAAAATGTCAATTCGTGGAAGTACTTCGATCTGTTATATTTTGTTGCGACAAATTAGCAAGAAAGATGTTTGCAAAGTACAGGTAATTCCTTGTTCTTCGGGTCAAACTCATGTTGTGAACGACCCCACCAAGAAACAGTGGCGCAGAAAAGACGAACAGTTGTCATACGCTCACAGGTAATCATGAATTATGCTAATTTTAGGTTTTTATTTATATATATTTATTATTGTATATGTTGCTAGTCGTTTGTGTGTGTTGTCATGGCTTGGTGGGTAAATGTACGTTGCATTCATATGCGCAGGGGGAGTTCGGGTCTTGACACTGGTATGAGGTGTTTGGCAGGCGTTGGATTTACGTTCTACGTGAGACCAGCTGCTAACCAATCATCTATGCGGAGCATCGAACGTTCGCGTTTTGGGACGAGAATTCGGTCCGCCATACCGCAGATTATGAATTGTGGTTGACAGCTAGCTATTTAAGGTTGTCCTGCAAGTTCTTGGGGCATATTCCTTCTCTCGGCATAGTTCTCTGAGGACAGTGATTGCCGGGAAAAACCATGCCGTGAACATCCTCCCTTTTTCAAGTGGTTAAATTCTTTGCAAAGTTTAGAGATTAACAATTCTTCTTTTTGGAATTCTACTTTATTGCTCTTTGTTAGGTTATAATGCCGTATTCTAGTTCAACACATATGTCATCTACAAGTTATCGAAATTTAGACTACTTTCAAACTGTGATGTATAAGCATAGTGCTGAATAGCTTGACGGTTATAAGTAAAATTCATCACGTTTTACTTCTTTCATATTTTATTTCGTCACATGTGGCATCAAAGTTGTTTAAAGTTTTATTATTACTAGGAAATCATTATCAACTTATTTTAATTCATGTTTGATTTTTAAACCAAAATTTATTTTTTTAGAAAACTTAAAGTAAGTGCAGTACAAGATTAATATTGCACTTTTTTTTCCTAAACAAATTTTTGTAAAAAAACAAAGAAAACATAGGAGGAAAATATTTCAGTGAAAGTGATAAAAAGTCAGGAGGATGGGTTGACGCCAGCAATGAGTCGAGACATCGGCCAGGTACTTTTCGTTCGCGGAACGTCAGCTTTGAACGATTTTTTGATGTTCAACGACAGCATGACAGATTTTCAACCCAGCAACAGTGGTCTCCAAGAACTATTAGTTCTGATCATTCTAGAAACTTAGAGAGTACGTTTCTTATAAACTGTATACAGTTATTAGGTTAACTGTCATTTTTCCTTATCTGCTAGTCGTAACTGTGTTGTTTGTACGATTTTCGGAGTTTATCAACTTTCCATTTTGTTTAATAACAATTTTATTGACTAGTTTTTTAAGAATCATGGAACAGTGGTGTGGAAGCAATGAAAGTTGATTATTCGAAGCTTGATCTTCCTCCCATCCAGAAAAATTTTTATAAAGAGAGCTCTTCGGTGACAAACAGGAGTGAGGTGTGTTTTTCACTGTTGACTATTTTTTTTGTCATTGACGCGACAGGTGATATTTAATATAGCTAATGATGCATTTTCGAGAAACAACGATCGATAGTAGATGGTACATTGGTATGCGAGCGCCTTTCTCTGTGTTAAGTAATGAAAGTTCGATTTCCTAGGACAAGAGTTTGGCATATAGGAACCATGTGTGGGTATCCAAATGTCACATGTGGGCCGATGATAATGCCTAGAGGATAGTATATTGTATTAAAGGTCGCTTGTCGATACTCTTCTCTCCTCAAGCACAACCCAAGCAATGTACAGTAATAACTTGACTTCTCCTTTAGATTTTTGATAGCTCCGTTTTGATCAAGACAAATTACAGCAAGAAATAAAAGAATGGCTTGAGCAAAATGAAGTTACATTACGAGGAAAATCGATTCCTCGACCAATTTTTGAATTTGATGAAGCAGGTTTCACAACAGAAATTTTGCACAAAATTGGTATGTCTGGTTTTCAAAAACCAACTGTGATACAGTCGATATCTTGGCCAGTTGCTTTACCAGGTTATGATATGGTTTCTATTGCGAGAACTGGCTCAGGAAAAACATTAGCGGTTAGTTTTTCATTAATAGAGCCATGGACAGGATTTTTCAGGAATATAAAAATTCTTTTTATTGACCTGATTGTAAATAAAACATCCACCCAAAACACTTATATTTAATTGATATCACTTTATATCTAATTTTCTATAAAGACATCTGAGCCGAAGATTTTTTTGCAAAGTGAAAGTTCACTGATTGTTACTGTACAAATTTCTTATAATTTTTAGTACATATTGCCGGGAATCATGCATCTTCAAAATCAGAAACAAGTCGCAAATATTCGAGGTCCTGTAGTTCTTATTCTAGCACCGACGAGAGAATTAGTGCAGCAAATCAGTTCTATGACGACAAATTTCTACCACAAAGTTGGATGTGCTTATGGAGGTTCTGGTCGTGAAAAGCAAGCCACAATTATTCGTTCTGGTAATATTTTATTCTCTATAGGTTACTCGTCGATAGTAAAGGGAAATTAATCTTGAATTAGATAGTAGTGTAAGCAGAAATAAAGTACGTACTGAAATGCGACAGTTAGATGGGTGGAAGAATTTTATTAATATTGCTAAAACATTCTCGTATGTTTAAACACTTCATGTCTTTGTGAACACATGTTAATTAAAGAACCTAATGAGCTTCATTTGTTTGGTTTTTAGACTTTTCATCTTTTTTCAATTTTTTTTACATAGGTATCGATATTTTATCGGCAACACCTGGGCGCTTACTTGATTTTCTCGTTGCTGGAATTTTAAATCTACAACGATGCTCTTATTTAGTGTTAGATGAAGCTGACAGAATGTTGGATATGGGGTTTGAACCTCAGATACGTAAAATTGTATCTATGATTAGGGTAATTGATTAAACTTTTATAATACTTTCTCTGGTTTCTGTAAAAGATTTCGAAACTTATATTTATGGATGTTTCAGCCAGACCGACAAACACTGATGTTCTCAGCAACGTGGCCAAAAGAAGTACGTACTTTGGCAAAAGATTTTCTTACGGATCCTGTGTTTGTTAATGTTGGATCGTTGAAACTTGCTGCGAATACTAATATAAACCAACTGATGGAAGTTGTCGAAGAAAATGAGAAAGAAAACAAATTACTGCAGTTCTTAAATCAGTCGTCAAACCTGGTTACCTTTTTAAAGTTGAATTATCAGAATAGATAACTGAAATGTCAATGTGTTATTATGCATGGCAATAATATACAATTTGTTTAGTCACAAAATAAAACGCTAATATTTGTTGGCATGAAGCGTACAGCGGATTGGCTGGTACGATTAGTACGTAAGCAAGGATATCCAGCTTTGTCTATACATGGTGATAAGTCACAGACAGAACGAGATATCGTCATGAATGGTACTTTACAACTTTATATTAAGTAACTTTATTGTTTTTGTAAAAAGCCCCTAATAAAATACTTCGTGGAAATGATAGTCTTTGCTTACAATAGAATTGCAGATTTCAAAAGTGGTAGATGTTCGATACTAATAGCTACAGATGTTGCTGCTCGCGGTTTGGGTAAGTTAGTTAGACTTAATGAGTTGTTTAGATATGGAGACTAACTTTTATACTTTTCTTTCAGATGTAAATGACATAAAATTTGTTGTCAATTTCGACTGTCCAAGAAATGTTGAAGACTACATACACAGAATAGGAAGAACTGCCCGCCATGACAAGACTGTATCTTTTTATCTTTAAATCAATATTTGCTGATGTGAAGTCTTTGACTTTTCTGCCAGTTGTTGAACATTTTTTTCATCAACTTAGTACTCGCAGTTACTAACTTAAATATTTGGATTCTACAGGGCACATCTCTTACCTTGTGTACTTCCAATGATGCCTCAATAGCCAACGATCTGATCCAAGTTTTGAAACAAGCAAAGCAAATAGTTCCTAAGGACTTGCTTGCGCTTGCCAATGAACGACGACTTATTAGGTTGTTCTTATGGCTATTTAAAAAAAAAAGAGTGATTATAAATAAAAATTTGGAAGATGCCACGGTGATAAATAATCTCACTCCTGCATAGTCTTCTTTGTTTAGCTTAATTTTTCAGAAATTTCTGATCAGTAAGAAAAATTTACAATGGGCAATGGACGATTGCACCAAATACAAGATTTTCGACCTTTGTTGGTTTGTGAATGCGTTTAATTGTTGACTATTGTAATTACTTTCCAACAGAAAATAAATTGTTCGTGAGTCAATCATACAACTTTACCAAATATTTTTATATATAGCCCGACAAAGCGGATTCTCGCTTTATTAAGCATTAAAAATAGTCTCGAAATGTAGTATCAGTACAGACTGTAGATGATGCAACAACATCTTGAGTATAAGGAAGAGTTTTTAGTCATGTTTTGTAAAAATATGCACTGTTAATGAGCAAAAAAATGACTGCGCGTAATCGTATTACTCTTGCATTTGCTCCCTAAATATCATTAATGGCTAGGTTAATTAAAGTACAAGAGTCAAGGTTTCTAGATAACATAAGCTTTTAGATTATGTACAAAATGTGTTATTTTCGCATTAACAGAACGAGGATTAAGGATTAGTTACAGAATGCAATAAATCATTTTTGCAATGTTTCAAAGATTTTTCTGGGTAGGAAGTATGTTTCTGGGGTTTATGTTGGAAATTGTATTTGCATTCTGTGACTAATCTTTGTTCTCGTTCATTTAATGCAAAGAGGACTAAAAATTAATTACAAGATGCAAATATAGTTTCTTTCAGGATGTGCAAAATAATGGGATTCATGCAAAACAAAACAATCAAACTTAGTTCATTGAAAACTATCAGCAGTTTATATTGAAGTGTCACTAACATTTCTCTCGATTCATAAATGAGTTAGAGTTTCAATAAAATTTGAAGAGATGAAATGACAGAGTAGGAAGAAACTGCATAGAAATATTTTGCTTTCAGTGGTAATCTGTTTCAGGTGAGAAATGGATTAAAGTGCGTTCCTAATTTCGCTATTTCTTGCTTTTAGTTTAGGTCATTGCCTTATTAAATATTTAGTTGCATCGGTAATGCAAATCTAACAAATTATATTTTTTAATTATGATATCCTTGCCAGCACCAAAACTAAAAGCAAGAAATGGCGCCCAATAATGTCCAGATAAACTGCTAGAATAAAATTAATCGTTCACTGAATGTCCAGTAATTTCAGTTCCTTAGTTGACTTTGCTCATCTGTAAGTGGAACATACACTACACCCATCAAATCTTTTTGCGTAACAACACCATTCTCATCCTTATCTATTTGCATGAATCGTTGCGTGCTATGTTGAAGACCTACTGGAATCACCATTCGTCCACCCTTAGCAAGTTGTTCTATCAACTGCAATAATTTAAGAATACAATAAAGAATTTTAAATCGAATATCGAAGAAGAATGAAAGTCTCTAGCAACAGTGTTCAATGTCTTCTGATATTTTTGGATCAGTTGTGAATATCAAGAAAGTATGAAGGGGATTCTCTAATGTCAATATCTTTGATATTACAATAATGTACACAAGACAAAGTGTAGTTCGTCATTAAGTTCTTATTAAGAAAGGCAGTTAGTCCTAGATATGTCGCTGTCATGCAGACAATATATAAAAATTTTCGAAGTTGGAAATCACTTTACTCAATTTCTGGAATGTAGAGATAACCTGAGTAGGGACTTCAGATGCTGCAGCTCCAACGTGTATGGCATCATAAGGTGCCTCATCCTTATAGCCTTGTCGTCCATCACCTTTTACAAGAATTATGCGACCAGTGCTCAGCAAATTTTCATGATTTTTCATAATATTCTTTTTTGAATCAGTCAACAGCCCTTGGATGTGCTCAATTCCTACCACTTTACCTTCTTTTCCCACCTATAAGTATTCTGATAAAGTTCTGAACTATGGATACAAGAGGACTGATTTTCAGTTCAATGTAAGTGTAGTGCCATCCATCATCCTATTACTTTCAATTTCTAGGGACAACTGATGTACAATATTTCCAATTTCATGTTTATGGTTTTCATAGCCATCTAAAGTTAAGAATGAAAGAGCATACGAGAAATTCGCTTATATAAGGAACGAAACAATACTATTGTCAAGCTAGTGATTAAGTTGAAAGTTCTATATTAAATGAATAAGAGGAAAGTTTACCATAATTGCCATGCACGCTGTTAGATAACCAGAACCTGATCCAACATCTAATGCTCGGTTTCCTTCTTTGAGGTGATCTTTCAAGAGTTCCAGAGCAGATGCATGCTGAAACAAAGTTAATTATCCTATGCAGTTTTAATTTTAAGGAATGGTACGAATATTAGTACACTTTTTAACGGTTTTGTTGCAATGCTTGAAAAATTGAAAGTACCATGTGAGGAGCACTGATTGTAGCACCGTACCCTATGGATACGGGATGATCGCCATAAGGAGTAGTGGAAGTGAAATCTCCACGATCGATCTGTAGCATAGCATTACGTACACGTTCATCTCTGAATAAGCCATTAGCTGAAAGTGTAATCTATACAATCAATAAGTTAAAAGTACGCACAAATTTCAGTGTAATAAATCTTGAAAAAAAAAAGCAACAAATCAAATTGATATAGCATTTATTCACAAAAAGCAGCAACCATAGAATGAATAAATAAGTTTTACGTAGAAAAAACGTTAAAGTGAACTAAATAAAGAACTAATTAGCACAGAAATGTGTGAAATGGAATATTGCATAAAATGTATAAGAGGGCTCATTGTAATAAATAATTTGTGAGATAAATAGTAGTGTTGAATATAAGTAAAATCTGCATATTTTGATTAGAAATTATTCGTAAAAAAATGCTAAAACTGAAAAAGATATGCAGTATAAAAGTCATAAAATTTAAATATTTATATATATATGTGTATCTATACCTTGCAAATTGTTGACCAGCTGAAGATTAGAATCACCTCCTGACCTCCAAGCCATGGCGTTTCTCGTAGAACGAACTAGCAGTCTAGTTGTTTCCCTCAATACTTTCATACTGCTAGTTTTAACTTGTTTCTCCTCATCAGTTATGTGTAGCTCTCTGTTCTGCTTTCCCTCTTCTTCTTCTTGTATGATAGTTTGTGGTAAATAAATTGATTCAATCTTCTTTTCCTTCTCTGCCACCTTCTCTTCTTGATCATTCGCAACTATATTTTGTTTAATGTTGCAATAATTATTATCCGATAAGCTGTCGCAATCGCTTGATAATATTAGCAACAGTAAGCTGAAGTTTGAACAAAATAGCACAATAAATAAATACAAATAACTGCTTGACATTAATGACACTTTTGTGTAATACTTAGAAAGTAATCAATTTCGTATTCCTCGCAAGTGATTTATTTATCTGAAATATTTACAGCAGAAGAAATGAACAAGCAATGATTTCGTACCACTTATAATTACGATTTTGCTAAACTTTATCATTATTACAGAAATAATAATAATAATAATAACAATAATAACAATAATAATAATATAGTAAGTGCTATTAGTAATGGTAATAAATAAAATAAGTATTATTAATAATGATAATAAATAAGCAATGATTTGGTATTACTTATGATTACGATTGTACAAAAATTACAAAACTTTATACTATTACAAAAATGATAAAAATTTGAGAAACAAATTTGCAAGCAATGAAATATGTTGCACTGAGCACTCACTGAAACAAACTTTATGAAAATTGACGCACTATTTATTCATTCAGTCATTCTTTTAGTAAATCATTAAGTCAGTCATTCAGTCAGTCATTAAGTCTGTTAATCAGTCGATCATAATGAGTAATCTCTTTATCAAACATTATTTATTTGTGGCACGACACAAAACACATAGTCCGCCAGCAATACTAATTGTAATAATTAATAATGAATAATAATAATAATAATAATAATGAATACTACGAATAATAATGAATAATAATAAATAAATGAAAAGCTCACATTAAAATTATAAACTGTTTCAAACTTCACTGAAAGTCTCGTGAATCTTTCCCAGCAGTGAATCAAAAATTTTCTCATGACGCACATGCAAATATCCATTCTCATATCTGTCGTGGGAATATTTTGCTCAGGCTTTGTTTTATCTCAAGCGTCGTTCCCACGCGCATTCGCTGTTGACGCTTTGACATTCAGATTTCCGTTGCAACTTTTTCTCACCCTAATTATGTCGAAGTTACTATATAAGCGGAGAAAACTTAGTGTGACAGTTTTTTGCCTGAAGCAATCGTATAAACGCGCTACTGCGCTTCTTCCGATAAGGTATTTTAATTTTATTACTCTTTTACTTACAGCAAATTTACTCTTAGTTTTGCATTCAGAATTGAAAAAAATGCTCATAAGATAAGAAAAAAACAAGATAAAACTTTTTGGTTTTAAAGTTTCAGATTGATACTTAACTGCAGTAATCATTTTGTCGTGCGCTGATTTTAAATTATCAGAATATGTTGTTTATTACACGACTGCTGAATTACCCTTCAAAAGAAGACAAGAAAAAAGATGAATACATTCGGTACCTTAAAGGTGTGCAAAGTTCACTGGAACAAACTTTGTATGATCAATTAAATAAGTAAGGTTTATTCTGGTTTTGAAAGGTTCATAAAGATTTTGCCAAAATTTAGCACAAAACTTGTTTCAAATTGTTTTTGTTGAGAAGTTTGCATGAATTTTTGTTCTCTTCGCAACAATTAATTATATCAAGATTATTCATTGCTATGCCGAAATGTGAAGTTTTGTTGTCTTTCAGAGAAAATGAAGAGAAACAAATAATTCAAGGTCTCAGCAACCAGTTCCAGCGCCTGGTCATTGAGGTCCAAGAGGCTAAAGACAGACACTTAAATGAGAGCAATTACGAGTAAGTTATTTTTTAAACATAGCTGAATTCTAATTTCAAACGTTAAGAAAAAGTTCTAGCATTAATCAAAAGTGATTTATTTCTCTATTAAAACTTCAATCATTTCAGTTTTTCTCTAATTTTTTTGCTTTGTCAGAATTTGGTATTTGCATTTGAATGCATTTTGTTAAACTTTAAATTATATAAACTTGAATAAATTTTACTCATTAACTAAATTCGAATATTATCCAGTTGAAGTTTTAGACATTTATTCTCATCACAGTGTAGAAGATATGTCAAAATGCAGAGAAAAATGCGAAACTGCAAAAAGAAATATCGACGACTCCGCAGACTTCTTGAAATAGTAAGTTATTATAATTTATATTTGGTTTGAGATCTTCCGAGATTGACTGAGCCTTCTTGATCTTGTAATATCAACGAGCTTTATCCAAATTCCTAGCTTGTCTGCTACTAAATTTTCGACATTTGATCGAGCTCCCACTCAGTTAGGAAGAAAATGAAAATATTAATATGTAATTTGTAGCATCAACTGAATATCCAAGAAATGAAGAAGCGTCTGCTAAAAGTGAAATTATGCACTGCGGAAATTGAACAGAATCAGAAGAGTTTATATCGACGTAAAGCTCGGGCTGAAGCCATCGCTGAATTTTACAGATCGAAGACTAAACTAAATTCCTTAAGTGCTTCCTGGCCAAGACGTATTTCTCAGAGCAATAATGCGCAGACGATGGTTAATTCTACACATTCTTATTGTACTGATATCCCTTTTTAATTTTTAATACTTAAATAATACTTTGATTGCATATTCTGATCTCATGTTCTGATTTGTGTCTAATTTTTTATTGCTGTCTCCTAACCACCCATATATACCATTTTATGATTTACAAATCACATGCTTTTCACTTTTCTCTCTCATATTTACTTTATTTGTGCTTGACTGTATTTAAAAATTTATAAAATGCTTCACAGTTTAATACATTTTCAGGGCTTTCTATTGTGTCATTATGTTGTAAAAGACTATAATATTGCCTTTTGTACAAGCATTTTGATCTTTGCAAGAATAGTCTTTACATCATTCGACAATTTTTCATTTCTTGCCTTGTGTTGTTAAATTTTTGCTGTTATCCAATTTTCGCCTTGACCTTTGCTCTTTGTTTGCTGTGTCAATTTTAGCACTTCATAATGGTACAGAATTTCAATTGTTTTATTAAGTGACCATGAATTTATGAATAATTTATTGCTGTTTTTTAAATGAGCAGTTGAAAAAATTATCAACAAAATGACATCACAGTCCGATCACTTATTCGGATTTTGATTTCCACTGCTCATCTCGATGATGAAGAGATTTTCAATTATGTTTGTTTATATCTCACATTTTTCAATTTTTTTAACTAATTTGTTTTGTATACTTATAATATTGTGACTACCAAGATAAATTAATGGAATGAATTATTCATATTACCGCACAAAATTCATTCTAAATAGCACAAACTACACTGAGCTGATAGATAGGTCAATGGTACTGTATAATAAGCATGGAAAAGCATTTATTGACCGCACGTCATTTACGCGTCTGTGTGGATGAATGATCTCAGCATGGCTTGAGATAGAGCCACAAGAAACACAAACTGTGTATTAGCAAGACAGAAAAGAAGAATCAAAAATTTCACTCACTATTGCTTCTTCCAGTCGAAAATTGCATTCATTTTACTGCTTGATGAGGAACAATTATTTTTGCATGTAACGTGTGATTGTGAGCATTATTACACGGAGACCAATCTTCTTTTCTTTTATGCGTTAATGATTCGGACGCTGAGTCGTATTCCGGCTCCCAGACTGTTCTCGTCTCATGGTTGATTGTTTTACTCTGCTGGTCTCCATCGCTTCATCCTCCTGGAATCCGAGGCAGTGATCAAATGAGATACTTTCAAGTATCTTTTTGAGCACTATCGATTGAATTTGTATCACGGCATCAACAGATATATTAATTTGCTTCACTTAGCGTTTATTGAAGTCCATTACTATGCCATTCCAAATCATTTCCGTGAGCACAGCATTTTTTTTCACCTCGACTGCAGCCAGCTTGCTGTGATTAGTGATGGCCAACCTCTACTTCAAAACTCATACCGCGTATTATAGTGGATCATGATATTCGATCGATCCACATTCCTTTTTATAGCTGCCCTAACACGCATATCGCCTCTGATCTCCCTGTTTTCATTCGTGACGATTTCCTAAACAGAATAGCTTCAGATGCGTGAGAATACTTTCAGACCATACTTCTTGCAGAATCCTTTATAAGTTTTTTCTATGCAGTTTAACTGATCGCTCAATTATCACTAGAATCTCTGCTTGAACTTCATCCTAATTTCCACGGGTAGGTGCACCAGTTTTGTTTTCCACTATTCTAAGGTAATGGTACTCTTGAATTATTTCCAAGAATGTCATCTTATCAACGTATGCAGTAATTAATAAATATAAATAATAATAATAATAATATATTTTAATGAATAAATAATAATAACAAATCAACTATTTGGGAATCTTTTGATTATAGATTTGTTTCTGAGTTTTCTTCAGTCCTAGATCGGTTTTGAGCAAGAGAGGATGATTGCTGAGAAATACTGATTAATGTATATTCAGTATAATAATAAACTCATTCAGTATCTGAAAGTAGCAAGATTTGTTCGTTAAATACTGAAGGCACTTAGCGAAGGTATATTACTACGAAAACAATTTTTGAGGTCAAAATTATTTTCTATACAAAGGACTCTCATTTTATTTCGCAAATGAGATGCGAAAGAATGTATGCGTTGTGTGTTTCTTTCTCATTATTGAGCAATCTTTATTTAATTATTTACACTTAATAATTAATAAGGGAACTATTCCACAAATTTACACTTATGATCAAGACAATGAAAGTATGAACTATGAATACAATTGACTTTACGTGACAAGAAACTAAAAAAGCAATTTTGCTACAAATGGCACTTATTTCTCTAATTCATATCTCAAATGAATGCAGAGATGAGATCTGCTCCAATCTTGAGATATAAGAGAGCAGATACAATTAAAAAAGTCCAACAATAAGACACATTCATTAATTACTATTAATCACTATAAAAGTATATACAGATCAAAAAATATATATACAAAAGAAAGCATAATACAAAATACACTTTCAATAATCACACATTAATTCACCACTTTGTCAAAGTGGTGATATACTTATAACATCAAAACACATTGTGAAAGTTAAAACCTTATATCACTTGCAAACACGGTTTGATTCACCTGCTCAAACAAACATTGAGTTGAGGACCGTACTGCTCGTTCATACCATGTTTTCCAGCCTCAGCAACAAAAGTTTCATCGTGCGACTGTGAAAACTGTGAGAAACTGCAATCAGAATACGTAAGCACAAATTGAAAAATAGTTGATTCTCAATTCTCATGAAAATAATACAGTGAATTCTAAAAGATGAAACAATCTAGACACAATGGCTAAACAAACGAAGCCAAAAATAAAGCTTACCTCATATTAAGTCCACTTCAGTTAACAGTGCTCAATATTCTGCAGCAGCTGAGCACAGAAGCTCACTTATGAACCACTAGATCTTGCAATTCACTTGAAACATGAAGAACGAGTGCTCTGCTGGCATACTTGAATAAAGAGTGGACATTCTCCAATAACTTAAGAAACTGCAGCTCCTCTTCATTAATAGAACTGCGTATGCCCTTCACCGAATGAACTCTAGGGTTTATGAAGAAACCGGCAGATTAAGCACTCTAGAGTTTAAGGTGAACCTGGCTCTCCTCTGCAGGTTGAAAATATCGTAAAAAAATAGTGCTCCGAATTTTCTCCATCGGAATCGTAAAGTGGAGCATTCGAACGCAGCACGCACCAAATCCATGTTTTCTCAGATTTCCAGGCTTTGCGTTTTTCGCAGCGTGATATTATGGAAGACCACGAGTAGTTTTCGAGCCTACTACGTGATCCATCTTCTTTTTTTTCTTCGCCTCGAAATTTATCTTAATTTTAAAAAAATAATGCTGCGGACCTTCTCCTCGCAAATTATAAAAATGGAGGTACTAACGCAGCATTCACACAATCCATGTTTCTCAATTTTCCAGGCTTTCAACACTGCTGATGAAGGGAACTGAGGCATTACATCCTTCCGTTCAATTTAATGCCTCAAACATTTCTACCCATGTTGTTGAAGGGCGCAACGTATTAATTCCATGCCGTTAAAGCGCGCAACACACTCGACCTTCATTGTTAAGCTTCAGGTGTGTTTCTCAATTCATGCCTTTCTCGCCTTTTTTCTCTTTTCTTTAATTAGTGCTGCGAAACTCCACCATGTTCATCATAACGATGGAGAATGTCCCCGCAGCACTTAGAATCCACGTTTTCTCAGATTTCCAGGCTTCGCATACTG